AAAGAGAAAAGAAGGGTAAGAAAATCAGATGAAAACATGGATGAAATTAGTACTAAAATTCATGCCATGAAGAAAGATTTCTTTTGAAGCTACGGCAGATGGATTGTGATGGGGATTTTTTTACCTTTAATTTCTAAGAAAATTATGACTGGACTGTGACCTGGTAGTGCCACATTGCCTAGATTTGTTAGAGAGGAGATAAGGTTTTAATCCCTGCAGCTTCCCACGTTTCTGCAGAGATGTTAAGAGGTCATCTGAAGTGCATGCCCCTGTCTCCAAGGGTGACGGGATGAATCAGTAACTCATGTCTTTGGAGTCCTATAGGACTAATGCATATTTGTCAGTCATTGTCACTACTGAAATTACTGCAGGACAGGGCAAATCCACCCAAGTGGGGATTCAAGTCCTGTACCGAGAGTTGGTGAGGATCCTGACTGCACCCAGGAAAAAATTCAAGTGCATGCCAGAGTTAGAGTCAGAGGAATGTTTATTAGAGAAATAATAACACTCCGCAGACTGCGTGGTCCCCTCTCAGAGGCAGAGAATGAGAGGGACTGAGAGGGGCCCTGAGTGTTTGTTTGGGGAATTCAGTGTATATGTCTTTCTTAGTTCCTACGAATTATAGTTTGAAGACTTTGTTTACTTGTTTTCCTTCGATAGTACGGGTGTGTAGCATGAAAGACATGGGCACGCAATGTTAAAAGCATGCTAGTAACCCCCAGTCTTTGTTCTATAGGTTCCCTACCATTTGGCTGCAGGGAATGAATGACTGGCTTTATGTTGTGTAGAGTATGACTTAAAGACTCTGTTTTCCCTTCACAGTAGGGTAAATGAGTTTGTTAGTAAACCTAGCAAAAATCTTCCTTTGTTCTGTAGGTTCCTGTGGTCTGACAGCACATTGTGGGCTCTGATACAGCTTAGTTTAACATCTAGTTCTCATGCCTCTTCCCTATATCAAAATGTTCACCTGTCACATTAGATAAACTTGTGGTCTAGCAGATTAGCTTGTATCAGAATCTTGTTGGTTCCAACCTAAAGATGAGCAGCTGTGGGGTCCCATGAATGAATCAGTCTCAGCATTGCAGACTGATTCTCTGACAGCTGCTGCTTGCGGTGGCTGAGGGTCAGCTTGCACACCTATAACAGCAGTCCCCAGCCTTTTTGGCACCAGGGACCAGTGCTCCTATGAGAATCTAATGCCTGATGATCTGGGGTCGATCTGAGGTGGTGATGCTAGCACTGGGAAGTGGCTGCAGATACAGGTGAAACTTTGCTCGCTGGCCCATCACTTACCTCCTGCTGTGCAGCCTGGTTCCTAATGGGCCACAGACTGATACTGGTCTGCGGCCTGGGGTTGGGGACCCCTGCATGTAAAGAGAAGGCAGACAAAATGCATCCTCTGAGCGAGATTATGTATGATAACTCCCTTTTTCTTGCCTCTCCTGGAGTTAGAAGCAGCCATTCAGAACAGGTCCTGTCTAGAGTTGACAGAGATGTATTAATCTCTGCTTTATTCCTGTGCGTTCTCTTGGCATCTTGGCATGCTGCCCTGGGGGAGTCTGTGGGGGAGGGGAGTGGGAAGGACAGCAGTTATCTCTGGCTCTGCTCCCCACAAGGGAATAAGACTGCAGCCAGCCTGTGTAAGAGAACATACAAGACCTTCAGACAGCCAGGACCTAGTTAACCCAAAGCATGTATTTCACAGCCCAATTAAGTTCATTTTAAAAGAGTAACAATAACTTTATTTCACTAATTATATTTCTTTAGCTTTGCAGGATATGCTGAAGCTTTCCTATTGATAACTGATACATGAGGAAATTAAAAGTGAGGGTAATTGAATTGTACTGTGCTGAGTTCTAAGTTTTCACATGAGAGCGCTTTGTCACGTTCCCAGCACCAGCTGTGGGAAGCTGGATGGAGTTGGGTGGAAGGCCATAGCATTTAATTGCCCATCCATCTGGCCCATTGTTTCAAGAGTTACTTGAGCTGGGTTATCCTTGGAGCCATGAACAGGCACCTGATTTAGTCCCATTTGGTACTCGAATGACAAAATATATAGTGCACTACCTGTCTAAGCCAGTTTTGATTATTATAAGAATGAGAAACCCACACAAAGAGCCCAAAGCTGGAGATTTATTGGAAGGTCCAGAGTCGCATATCTCCCTTGTCCTTCAGGGGGAGCTTCTGGTCAAACATGCCAGGGAAGTAGCTATCTCAACCCTGACTCTACATCACTTTTTCATTTAAGGCCCAACACCGGCTAATTCAGTCTCGTGTGTTTAGTTCAGATTTTGCAGAGGGGATGAATTTTGATTGGCTCCATCAGTGATGCGCTCAGTCCCTTTGGGGTGAGACATCCACTCTTAGAATAATCACTTGTGACTCAGAGGTAACAGGAGAAGGGGGCCTGGGGCTTTGCCCTGAGCCACTATTTTTCTCACTCTGTAGGCTCCTCTGCTCAAAACCTCCAGTAGTTCCCCATCTTCCTCAGAGAAAGACACAAAGAAAAAGGAAAGCCCTTATGTGACCCATTGGGCCCCAGCAGGATCAAGCCTCCTTTTCTGCTCAACTCAGTTGTCATCACCTCTCACTCTGGTCATCACTGTGCTCAAACTACTCTGGGCCACAGACACAGAGCTGCCTCAGGACTTTGGCACTCGACACCTCTGCCTGGAATCCTCTTTCAAAAAAACCTCCAAGTGTTTGCTCAGAGGAAATGTCAGTGGGGCCGTCATATTTTGGATTGTAACCTCCCTCTTCATTCCCTCTCATCATTTCCTGCTTTGTTTTTCTCCATAGCACTTATCATCAATTAACATTGTTTTACTCACTTATTTTATTTTGTCTGTAATATAAGCTCTACAATTAATGGTTTTCTATCTTCTTGTCTTTTATTTCTTTACTGCAATATGACCAGCATCTAGAACACATCCCAGTACATAATTAATGCTCAATAAATATTTATTAAATGACAAAGTAAGCATAGTAATTACTACCTACTGGCTGAAGTAAATAAAAACGGTATTGATATACCTCATACTTTGTCTGAAACACAGGGAGCATACAGTAGCTACTTGCCATAGTCTTCCTCTTCTCCAGTAGTAGTTTTATAACTTTAAACTCATATTCTGCTGTTTCACTGCTTACATTATTAAGACGAACTTTCTGAAGGGAGGGTGGCAAAGTCTTTAGCTGTAGGGGCATCACTCAGCCAGGCCCCTGATTGAGTGTTGCTGACAAGGTTGATTCTATCTGGAGAGCTGCGGTGATGGATGGTGGGAGGGAGAAAAGAATTTAGTAACTGATGGAGAAGAGTCAGGCATAAAGTAAAGGGGAATCGAGAAGAAGTGGTGGTGGCAAAGTGAGAACTTACCAGACAAGAGTAGATGTGTTACCTTTTTATTAATTTTTTTATTTTTTATAACTTTATTGAGATATAGTTCACATACCGTAAAGTCTACCCACTTAGCATGAACATTTCAGTGCTTTTTAGTATATGGTGCAACCATCACCACAACTTAATTTCAGAATATTTTCATCACCCCATAAAGGAGCTCCTTACTTTTTAGCAGTCACTCTTCATTCCCAACTCCCACTCCAGGCTCAGGTAACCACTAATCTGATTTTTCTCTATGGATTTGCCTGTTCTAGACATTTCATATAAACGGATTCATATAATATGTGGTCTTTTGTGACTATATTCCTTTCACTGACCATAATGTTTTCAAAGTTCATCCGCATTGTAACATGTATAGCATTTCATTCTTTTTTATTGCCAAGTAATAGTTCATTGTATGGATATACTACATTTTGTTTATTGTTTGATGAACATTTGAGTTGTTTCTACTTTTTAGCTATTACAAATAATGCTGCTGTGAACTTTTGTGTACACATTTTTGAGTGTGCATGTGTTTTCATTTCTCTTGGCATATATATCTAGGAGTGGAATTGCTGGGTCAGATGGTAGCTCTTCGTTTTAACTTTT